TTAGCCTTCCCGTGCCCGCGGGTAACACGTACGGTCCCGTGAAAGTTTTTTACGGGTAAATTAATATTTCGGGAACCACGAAGTCTAGCAGGCTGAAACTTTAGGGTAATGACCCCCTGCCTACGCTCAACCTTGCCCATTCCAATTCAGCTTTCCCGTACCCGCGGGTAACGCGTACGGCCTCGTGAAAGTTTTTTGCAAGTAAATTAATATCTCGGGAACCATGGAGTCTAGCAGGTTGAAATTTTAGGGTAATAAGCCCCTGCGCACGCTCAACCTTGCCTATTTAAATTCAGCGTTCCCGCGCTCTCAAGTTTCACGTACGGGCTAGTGAAAGTTTTTACGGGTAAATTATTATCTTGGGAACCATGGAGTCTAGCAGGCTGAAATTTTAGTGTAATGACCTCCTGCCCAAGCTCAACCTTGCCCATTCCAGTTCAGCATTTCCGCGCTTTGGGTATCACCTACATCCTTGTGAAAATTTTGGCGGGTAAACTACTAACTCGGGAGTCGCGGAAGGATATTCACCATTCAATGCTTCGAATTCAGCTTCCATGCGCTGGTGCGTGGAATTTTTAACTATTTTTCAATGTTTGAACTATTTTTGCATAGACTAAAGTACAAAGCTGTAAAAATCATTAATAGACAATCGTTCGATGGGCTGAATTGCACAAAACGCATGATCGCACCGACTGATCTGGTGCACGCTGCTGTTTATTTTTTCTTTTAGAGTTGAATATCCTCCATTACATTTGTTTGTTTTCTGCCGCAAAGACAACAAGTGGCAGGAATTTCATGTGCAAACTGATGATGCATATTTGCAGAGCAAGGATAAGAAAGTGACCGATTTGATCAGTTTCTATTCACTACCATCATCAGTGATGCATCACCCATTGTATAAGTCAATTCAGGCTGCGTATTCATTCTACAATGTTGCCACATCGATTCCTCTTAAACAGCTCATGAACGATGCCTTGATTATTGCTCGAAATGTAACTTCCAGCTCCTTTTTTTTTCTTTTTTTTTTGATCTAAACCTGTAAGATAAGGTTTGGGTTTGTGTTAAACAAAAGTTTGTGTTAGATTTCTGAATAATAAGCAGATTACCGGCACCAGTATTCGCTGCCTTTGTACGTGAGGCTACCAGAAAGTTTAGCGGGTTGAAATTAACTTCTCAGTGTTTCATCGAGGCACCAAAGTCGATCCATATTACTGCGAGCATCGTGGAAATTTACCAATAAGGGACAGACCGAGACGGGGAAATAATACAAAATCTGCTCTTTTGATAAATCTGTTTCGTGTTGATCAGAAAATTAATACATTTTTACCACTTTACTTGGCCTGAAGTAATACCACCCTATCGGTTTGTGTTTCATTTGTTCTTTGGCTTGGGAAATTGCTGGTGGCTTTGTTAAGAAATGACAGTTTGTTTGCTCAAGTGGATGTATCATCCTCGGCCCAGATAATCGGAACTCTGAGTTTGTTATTTGAGTAAATATCCAAATAAAATAGAATAGAAGAATTTCACTTGAATGTCATGTGTATGAAGACATTTTATGACGCAGTCTGTGTGTTTCATCCCTTAGCTGTATACACAGACCGAACAGTGCATGCGGGTAGGAGTGGAAATCACCGGTACAGCTTCCCACCCGCCATGTTTTGAATAGTCATGTAAATGATTTGCAAGACGGATGAGAGGAAGAAATAGATATAAGTGAAGGAGCATATAAAGTAAGAAAGAAAGAAAAGAAGGGAAGTTAAAACGTGAGGGAGCAAAAAAAGTGAGAAAAGAAGGAAAGAAGGGAAGTTAAAATACGATGCGGACAATCATTATATATTTAATTGTCATTAAAAAGTTGTCATTAACTTTTTCCGCTCATATTTTGATAGAGTGAAATTAGTGAAAGTGAAAAATATTACTTTTACTTTTTCTCTATTACAACTTTATTCATAACCACAAAATATCAGAATTTTACCCGGTTTTTAATTTCAGAATGGTTTCGATGTTTACAATGCGCTTGATCTCATGGATAATAAAGAAGTACTGGAGGAGCTGAAATTTGGCATCGGTGACGGCAATTTGCAATATTACCTATATAATTGGAAGTGTCCGGATATCGCGCCAGAAAAAATTGCCCTTGTGTTGCAATAGTTTCCACTCTTCCAACTTCATCTTTATGACAGAATACTGTTATTTGAAAAAGATACCGTGACACGTGTGCATTAGTAAAAGTATTTGCAGAAATTTCTAGAGGCTTGTTGTCTAGCAAAAAATATGTTGCATGTGATAATATCTCTAAGTTCGCGCAAAATTAAGGCGAGGCTCTTTTTTATGCCTTTTTGTGTGTGCGTGTGTTTTTTTTTTTTCTGAGAAATCTGATACTGCAGTGGAAAATCAGTAATTAGATTCGTATTGGAAGTGACTATTGTTTGGGAATGATTTGAAGTAAAGCAGAATTTTATAAATTTTTAAACTATATTGTTTGAGTTCTTGTCCACTGTTTCTCCCAAGCAAATGTCATTTTCGAACAGGATCTTTTGAATCTTTCTTCAAAAAAAAAAAGAAAAAAAGAAAAAAATTCGCTTCTGGAAACTGGCACCTGTCGGTCTGTTCTTTGACCTTGTTTTTGCACAGAATCCATGCACAAACTGTGATGAAAACTAGACTTGTTACGCTCTGAAGTTGCTTATCCTATGCTGTGATCTTGCAGTCTGTGCAGGCTTTAACTTCACCGATATCAAATACACTGTGATAATTTGGGATTTGCAAAAGCGCTAGGAGCATTATTAATAAAGAAAGCAACAGATAATAAAGCTAATTAAAGAACAATGGAGTTCGAATCCACCAAGTCATTGAGATTCGTCGGATCATAAGCTTGAGTGAAATATGAATGCCAAAATTGAATGTTTTTGTTTACCGAAGTAAGGGCACATGCTTCCCCATCATTATTTTTTTTTTTTCTTGAGAAGTATCATATTGGAATGCGATTTTGTGTCCGCATTCTTCATTTGTTATAAATTTCGCCCTCAAGGAGAAATTCAGTGTTTTAGTGGTGTAGTGTTTTTGTGTTGCATCGTTTGTATTTATCAGCTCTGCTCTTTCAGGTCTCGCTTTTTATTTATTTTTGGGTAGAGTGGCTCGTTTTTTTTTTGTCGGGCAAAATCACTGCTGCTTTTTTGGTTGGAAGAAAGGCGCATTATTCGCATCACGAGTTTGGAACTGCTGTCGAAATTTGCTTTTCTAAAAAATAAAAATAGTGTTTTGAAAAAAAAAAAAAAAAAAACACTTCTGATGCATCCTGTTCCTCTCTCTTAGGGTTGCATGTACCTGGAATCAGAGATAAATGGGGAAGGCAATTTTAGTCAGTTCTATAGCCTGCTTGCGTTTTGTGCTTTGCGTCTCTCTTCATTCTGTAGCCCATGATCTGTTAGCGTATTTTTGATGCTTTGTTGCCTTCTAATCTCCTTTTTTTACTTGTTTATTTGAAGCTGTATATTTAATACATTTTCAAAATTTATGAAAAGGAGCATATTTTGTCATTTTTGGAATGCCTCTATGCGTATCGGGCCCTGCTGCCTTATACCAAGCCTCGCGAGCTGCAAAAAAACTCACGGGATTTCCCAGTTTAGGAACATTTGTGAAAACCCCTCACTCGAAATCATATTGTTTTTGCCTTCGCCATGCTAAATTTGTGATATCTTCGCACTGCAATTTTGCCTGCCTCTAGCTATGGAGAACGAAACGATTTCTTGGAATCCTAGCAGGAGGATTCCGAAACTTTTTGTAAATGCAGCTTCACAACAGCTCTTAGTATTTGTGCACCGTTCATGAATCCGT